CTGCTGCTCTGCACTGGGCTGTGCTGACACCTAGCTTGGGCAGAGCATATCAGGTTCACAAATGATGCCTGACTCCTGCGGGCTTATGTACCCTCTGCTGCTGGACTTGCTGCAGCCCCTCCAAGCACACTCCCCAGGACTACTGAGCTGGGTGCCATTGGTCTTGGGAAGAGAGAGAATTTCCTAAAGCAATGTTTGGCAAACTTGAGTTCCATTCTTTTCAAAGGCCAAGTAGCATTCCTATGGAGCCCCTGTTGACTTAAATTATTGTTGTGGAAATAAAGCAGCGCAAACACAAAGAGCTAAGCTTATAGTTGCTTTACAAGTCCAACACAAAAAACAAATGTATAAATTAAAGACACACAATTACAAACAGCAACAAAACTCTAACAACATTAATGTGACTATGGGCGTTTATGAAACCAATTAGCCTCTTCTGTGAATATGGTATTGAATGCCATTCAGATTCTCCTGTAGGGTGATGGGCTCTCACACCAAGTGCCGGGAATTGAGTCAGAGCCTTACAGCAGTTGCGTGCTGATAGAGCTTGATGCCTTTACCTCCATGGGAGTCAAACTGCCACCTGAGTCAGACTAGCTCATCCCAGACTTCAGGTACAATCCGTTGCTTCTGTAACACTTTTGGTCTAGACTTGCTCCAAGCTGGGAGTCTTTGTGACTCTGTAGAGGACTTACAGATGTCTTATTCCTTTATTTCTAAGTTATTAAGAATCCAGAATGGGAATTTCCCTGAAGTCTAAGTCTTCTGCTTGAATTCACAGCATCGGAACTGTATTTTCCTGTAACATCTTTAAAATGGGGAGGAAGCACTTTATAACTACTAGTACCTTACAGTAGATGAAATAATGCAATATGCATGAGATTGATTAATAATTATATGAGGCTTATGAGCAGCAGATATATGAAAACATTAAAATAGCTTAAAAGTCATAAACAAGCTTTCAGTTTTAAGTTTTCTTTTGCAAAAAACTGAAAACTTACAGAAATCGTGAGAATGGTATATGAATTCCATATGCGCTTTATCAAGACCTACCTGCTCTTTCCATTTGCCTCTCTCTCCTTGTGTCTCTGTCTCTCGTTCCATATATTCATTATATAATACATATTACAGATAAACTTGTTATTTTTGCTGACCCATTTAAGAGTAATTTATAGTCACTCAATTAACACCAAATACTTCAGTGTGGATTGCCTAAGAACAAATGTGAACACATTCTCTTTTATAACCACACTCAGAAAAGGTATGTAGGATACAATATAGTCCATGCATATTCAAAATTCACCAGTCTTACCAATAATGTCCTTTTTTAGGAATTTTTTCCTGGCTCTGCATCAAGGATCTAGGATCATACATTTACTTGATAAGTCTTTTTCACCTCCTTTACTCTGAACAGTTCTTCAGTCTATCTTTCACTCATTGAATGTTCAATGAAAGTAGAAGGCGTGGACTGAGATTTTTAGTCCTGTACATCAGGGGCCAGTTCTAAAATGTTCTCCTCGTGGTCAGTTTTATAGACAACTGTTCAGTTCCTAGTCCCCCCCTCATTCCAATCCCCTCCATCTGGAGCCTTCTAGGAATCTGGGGACATGTCTTTCCGTTTCCTGGGAGCTCGTCCCGGTTGCTGCATCCAGCCGGCCTGCAGAGCCCTTGGCATCAGCTCACAGTCACGCTCATCTATTGGGGTCACCTACGAGGTCGGTTAGAAGCTATTTCTCTATAGACATCCTGTCAGGTCTGCAGCTTCACATTTCTTTACATTTCAGGAAAAACAGTGCACTCCATACTCCTTCCCCAGTGGTGCAGGGGGAAGACGGTGCGGCAGGTTTCATGCAAGCTGCATACCGCAGGGGCTTTAGGCATTTCCTTCTGACTGGATGGGTGCATTGTCTGTAACCTCGATCTCCCTTTTTTCTCATCCTTTCCCTGCTCTCTCAGTCACAGCTGAAAACCTCTTTTGTCTGGAGTGAAATCTATTCACTCTCTTTTAGTGGCAATTCAAGCATGTAGCTGACTGCTTTTGGCTGTAAAATGCCTGTGAACAATATGGAGGAGCAAATATTCAAAAGTACTTTTAGAAATCTAGATTGAAAAAGTAACACATGGACATCTGCTAAACACCGTAGAAGAGGGGTGTTTGCTTTTTCTCGGTGGTCTTGGTTCAGGGATGTATTTGCTGTACGCAAAGTCCATTACAAAACCATGCCAGACTCTTCCATCTCTGACCCACATTCTAACAAACAACTGGATAACGAAAAAGGAAAAGCCCCAGCCTGCCAGGTGATAAAGGAATGCACTTATTTGAGAGAATCTGGATTTCTAAGATTCTTTCAGCAGCAACTGGTAGAGTCCAGGATTAGTTGAGTAGGCTCTCCACATGGCTTACTGTCCACAGGAATATGGATCAGTTTTAGAATGGTTTGAACACCCGTCTTTTTATAAGGTAAATAACAAATATTTAGGCAAATAAAAAATACTTTTTACAAGGTAAATAACAAAAATTGGATTATATTTTATTCCTAATTCAGTAGAAAGTCAGACCTGATAGAGCCAGGTAGGGGACAAAGCAGTCTGTGGAGGATTTGCAAGTGGTCCTAAGCTTGAGAATGAGTGAGCAGGCAGGAGGGATAAAAAAATGATCTGGAAGGCCTTTGCCAATGTAGTACAGAACAGCTGAAATGCTAAGTCTTATCCGGGTCACTGGCTCTGTCTCCCCTGGTAGTTGAGTATATTCCCTTGTTCCTAAGTTCATGCAGCAAAGGTCTTACAAGATGATTAGCTAGATTATTTGGGGAGCTGAAAAGTAGCGACAGCGCACACAGTTGTAAAATCAGCACAGTGTTTATCTGTCGCAGAAGTACAAGAAAAGTACTTTCTAGCCTCAAATCTCCAGCACAAACCCAGTTTTGGCAAAGACGAAGCAAGTCAAGGGTGGCAAGGTTGAATTTCTGCTTCATTTTGCAATGAGAGTTGGATATTTAGAAATATGCAATGACCAAAGCACGAGTTGCCTCCTCCAAGGGTGGCCGACACATCTAAGGGATCCCTTCTGCTTTCCACCAACTGGGAGAGTAAATTGAGAGCAACAGGTTGAGGTGGGAGGTTACCAAGGACACCAGATGGCCCTGCCACCTGTCTAGCTGCTTAGTACATCCATGTCAAGATGTCATTTTACATGTGTCACCTTCACTTAACAAATGAAGTTCGGAGAGGTTACGCTGCTCCAGGATCCAAGGCTGTTGCCGGGCCAGAGCAGGTTGCTGGTCCACTTTCAGAAACAGTGCTCCTCTTCAGACATCCTTCCCTAGTCTGCCAAGCACTGCCGCAGGCTCTAGGGCTGAGTCAACAGTGTGCAGTCAGAGTCCAAGTTCCCAGTGCAGACATTTGGTGCCCCACAGAAACTTGCACAGGTCTCTGGTCTTCTTTGAGCCTGAATTGGCTAATTGTAAAATGAGGCCTAGGACATCACGTGGATGGGATGTGAGGCTCATTTGCTCAAGCATGCAAAGTGATTTCCAAACGTCAGTCTGGAAACCTCATAGGAATGTTTGCATTTCTGGGCTGCAGGAGTCTGTCTGACCCCAGCTCTAGTCCTCACTTCTTGTCCTTGGCATCACACCCAAGCACCTTTGCTGTCAGCTCACTATCAGCTCCCAGGCCCTTCTACCAACCCAAATGATAGATGGGGCTGCTTTCCCCAGCTTGGCTGCCTTGATGGTCAGTCCAGTCTCTGCAGGACTCTGTTCCACAGATGAGCCTCCCAGCTGGAAGATCCCATAGGGCCCAGAGACCTCAGGAAGTACCTGGGTTCAGAGAGGTCACAGAGCCTTTGCACCCACTGGTCTAGGGTGCCTGAAGGGGATGGTTCCTCTGGGGAATGCCCTGGGGCTCACACTAGTAAGCAGCACACTCTTTCCATGCCACTGCCACCTCCTCACTCCCTTAGAGGGAAGGAGATGAGGGCACTGTCTCCTCCTCCAGGGACCCACTCCCAACCAGGGCCCACCTGCTAGCTGCTGCTACCCCTCACTGGAACTCCACAAAGTTCTCTCCTGATAAACACACATAGAATAGATCTAATAGCACTTTTCTTGCTTAGAGATGGGCTAGGCTCAGACCCTAAGTTTAGAACAGTGGCAAAGAGATCAGGCATTGGCTCAGAGTGATGGGGCTCTGTGGCTGTGTGACCTGGATCTCCTTCAAGTGGCTGCTTCTGCTTCCTTATCTATAGTTACAACAATAGTGGTTGCTGACATTATCGAATTGGGTTCTAGGGCAATGCCTTAACGGGAATGGTGTCACTTGGTCTTCCTACACACCCCAGGAGGGGTGGGCCCATTTCCCCATTGTACAGGTGCAGGAAACTGAGGCATTTGGAGATTCTGGAACTGTCTGTCCCAGGGCCTGACGGTGGCCGGGTTCAGTAGCATAGGGAAAAACACTTTAGCCCAGGCCTGGCTGAGGGCAACGTCAATAGGCATTTTTTTCTTAATAGTTTCCACATATTCTGGGCTGGTCTGTGTGGACCCTCTTAGTTTTCCAAGGGTCAGCACCTCGGACCCTGCCCTCCATTTCCGAGCAGCAGAAGGGGCTTCTCTCCTTGGCTCCCGAGGGTCCTGTGGAGTGAGCGTAGGAGGCCCACAGCCAGCAGGTGAGTCTCAGGCCAGAGGTTCCCTAGAAGCGTCCCCACCCCCTGGCTCCCAGATCCCTCCTCCCCTTAGGAATGACCGCCTCTGTAGCCAGGGGACCGCCGGTCTCATTGCAGCTGTGTGCTCTCCAAGTCACCAGCGATCACCCTTGCAGAACCTCAGTCTTCTCATCTGGGAAATGGGGCTGATGAAAGTGACGGCGAAGATACTGGATTGAACCCATCGCGCTGCGGCTCCCACGCCCGGTGCGGGCCTCGGGACCCAGCAGCCTCAGCCCAGCGTGGCAGGCAGTCCGAGGGGCGGGCCGGGGGCGGGCGCGGGAGCGGGCGGGGGCGCGGGGCGGGCTGGCGGCAGCCGGGCCAGGCGGCGGCGCTCTCCCGCGTCACAGCGCCGGGCGGCGGCGGGGAGATGCGGCTGCTGGCACTGGCGGCGGCCGCGCTGCTGGCGCGGGCTCCGGCCCCGGGTAAGCGCCGCGGGGCCGGGCGGGCGCGGGGCCGGTGGGGGCAGTCGGCCGCGCTGGGGAGACCCGGGCTCCGGGCCTTGTGGGGAGGCCCCACCGCCTCCGGGCGCGGGCCGGGGACTGCGCTGTCACTGTCGCCGGCGCGCTCCGGTGGGCTCGCCGCGGGTCTGGGGGGCACGGCGACCCCTCCCCGGGTTCGGAGGACGCCTCCCCGGAGGGCGGTCCCGGTCCCGACCTCGCCCGGGTCTGGGCACTCTGGCAGCAACCGCGCGTCCTTCCCAGCGGCAGGCCCCGAGGGGGGATGCAGCAGAGCGAAGCCCAAGTTGGTGGTTCGCTTTCCTTCTTTCCAGGGCACTCAGGACACACAACTCTTGGCAGGTTCCTCAGACCAGCAACTTCCCTTTTACTCTCTTTGGAGAGTTACTTGGAAGACAAGTCAGGAGGGACTGGATCTGCCCTGGCCCGGAGGTGGGAAATGGGGACTTGCTCGTGGGCCTGTGGAGGTGACTAGGCCTGGTGAGAGGGGCATCCACGGCTAGATGCAGCGACGCCTCTCCCACCAGCACCCTGCTTGAGAACAGCTTCTTGGTCCACACTAGTGGCTTTCATTCGGGTTTTACTGCTCCCACTTGGAAGGGGCTGAAGAATTTTCTCTCTTTGTTGCCCAGAGCCCTGTCCACTGCTCCAGGGTAGTAGTGGCCTTACTGGCTTGAATAACAGCAATCATACAGGTATCGATGGTCACTTTCCCTAAGTGCCTATCTGGGCCTAGCTCATTTAATCACAACACTTCCAAGGAATAATGACTACAACACGTTTATATATCCAAGTATTTAAAAAAAAACATTAACTTTAATCTCACCAATAACCTCTGAAGGAAGTGCTATTATTATCCCCATTTTATAGATGAAGAAACTGAGGCTCAGGCCCATGAACGGACTTGCCTTAAGTCACTAGGCTTGTAAGTGGTGGAGCTGGGATTTAAACCCAGGAAGCCTGGCTCTAGGCTCTGTGTCGATAACCACTAAACTGTGTTGCCATTGTTTTTGAAAATTAGGGAACTGATGCTCTGAAGTAGGTAATTTTCCAAGAGTGATCCAACTACCAAGTGATAGAGCTGGCATTTGAGCCAGCATCACTCCCTAGATTGCAGTCTGAGGAAGAGGCACTTGGCTAACCGTGGGAAGAAGTCCACCCACAGTCCCCCAGCTGTGAGTGAAGCCAGGCTCCCAGTGAACCTAAATGTCCTTGCTGCGCGACATTTCCCAGTTGTCACCGTCTTGGCTGGAAAAATGATGAGAAGTTTGACTTGGATTGTGGGCAGAGCAAGTTCTCGTGGCCTCCGTGGAGTAGACAGTAGCCAATGGTCCTTCCTCTCCCAGGCTCCATGATCACCTTCCTAATTGAAGAAGCTGTCAGAGTGGGTGTCCCAGAGATTGGCTTTTGGTGGGGATCAAGGGCATTCTCATGTTTCCAGGAGTCCTCGGGAATCTTGAGAGCTGGAATTCAGGATTCTTTAGGGTCCGCCCTGGCTGCGCCCAGGGTCAGCCCTGGGGAATGATAATAGCTCCTGCTTGTGGGACACTCTCTGTGCGTCACCCACTCTTCTAAGTGCTTCATTCATGACTCCTCACCACGATCCTGCTGGGAGGGGCTGGCAGACCCACTTTATACATAAATCCCCAGCTTCCTAATCGCTGCACTTTTCTACCTCTCCATTTTGGGACTGAGCAGGACCCAAGTGGTCACCCATGTCTCAGTTTACAGGAAAGAAAACTGACAGACAATATATTTCCTATAGCATATTTGTAGTCTGGAGTGGTGGCTGAGCTGTCTTTGAAGCCAGATCGCTTAGGATTGAATTCTAGCTCTGCCACTTACTATGTGAGCTTGAACAAGGGCTTAGCCTCTCTGTACCTCAGTCCTTTTGTCTATAAAATGGGAATGAACAGAGTATCAGGGTAAATTGAGAAAATGCATCTAAAGGGCGTAGGGTTTGTACCCGGCAGGTATTAGCCTCTATCATTGGGCAAGGTGATATTTTTATCCTGGATGGAGCTATTTTCAGGTGATGGGCTAATGTGAATGAATCAGTCCATGGGCTAGGTCTAGTATCACCTCTGCTTAGCGCTCGGTAAACACTGGCTCCTGGTGCCAAGGACTGTTAAGTAGTACAATAGTGTTTCTTTCAGAGATTTAGCTGTATGAATTCAGACTATCCTTTTAATAAGAGAGCTCACTGCTGCTGATCAGTACTGATAGTTTGCATTCCTTATAAACTTAGAGGCTCTGGTCTCCCTGAGGTGAGTGGGTGCAGTTTCTTCAGGCAGAGAGGAAGTGGGAGGAACAAAGCCACCAGCACATCCCTGGCTTGCTCAGACCGAAGGACTGTGCCCACCTCTGCATCCCAGGTGAGGCTGGTGCCTTGTTTTGTTAGCGGTCCCTGCTCCCTTGCACCTGGAAGCGGCCAGCTTCCACTTCACAATGAGCAGGTTGTCCTATTCAGCTACATGGATGTCCTTCTAGGCTGTTTTCAGAGTTGTATTAGTCCTTTTTGTGACACTATTCAAATGTAAACAAGGGGATTAGACACCTTAAATCTGTCCACAGGAATTTGAGGTTCATCTACAAACATAACCAGCTACATGACTTGTGGGATCCAGTGTCAAATGAAAATGTGGGGCTCCTCATTAAAATGTATTTCAATTTCAAAAAATCAATGGCAGAGATGAAACCAAGCTGGGGGAGTAAGACCTTCCAAGCATGGGGTCCTGTGTGGCTGCAGGTCGTGGACCCACAAAGCCCACTGTACTCACAGGACAGTGTGCATGTCACTTTCTATTGCCCCCACCTCCCCAGTCTCAGGGCATGCAAACTATATCTGTGTTTTAAAGGTGTTTTTGCACTGGAGCCTATACTTACTGTGAAAGGCATCATTTCCCCATTTTTTGGATGGGGAACTGAAACTCCAGGAGGCTCACACCTAACAGAATCAGGTTTCCAGCCTGGCTCTGTCAGATGCCAGCTTCTGGCTCTTCATCCAGGTCCACCAAGCCAACCAAGCCACTGCTTCTGTGTCTCGTCATTTCTCCCCAGCTACCTGGGAAGGCCTGGGACCATGAACATCCAGTGCTCACCCTGTGTGGTACCCAGCACTACCAAGTCCTGGAGCATGCACTTGTTGGAGATAGGGGATTCGGTGCAGCAGGAATCCCACCCCTCTGTTTGTATCAGTCTCCTTCTTACCAGTTTTGTTATATTCCTTCTTCTAGAAGTGGCCTTGGGGACCTTGATTGGGAATGCCTTCTGAGGCCCCTATGTTGGCAGGGGTGGCTCTCGGGCCATAGTGGGGTACAGTTCACCAGGATGCACTGACGTTTCCATTTCCATCCTGTACTGGGTGCCTTCTGCCTCAGGGCCTTTGCAGAGATGGGCTCCCTCCTTAGAAGATCACTCCTTGTTGCTACCTTGAACTTTATTTCATTAACTCCAACTGAGTCTTCAGCTGAAGCTCACATCCCCAGAGTCCCTTTCCTGACCCCAAAGTTTAGATTAGGATCTTGCCATGATTTTCTTAAACGCTGCACTTTTTCTCTGTGGTCCGTGACACTGTAGTTATGTTCTCCCATGTCTTTTCTTCAATGAGTGGCTGCCTTACCCACTGGACTCCCTGCTGTACAAAGTCAGGAATGTTTTTTTCTTCACAATGTATCTACTGCATGAGGCTTAAGCTGGAAGAAGCAAGAACTGTGAGTGGAGAGGTACATGGGGAGGGGGACAGTGGGTCTACCTCTCACCTCAAATCTCCGTAACACAGGATCACAAAACAAGAAGTTAATTTCTTCTTTGAGTCAGAGTGACTTTGCCTATCTTTCCTAGCCCAGGAGAGGGCGGATCTGCCCTGTTTGTCTGCCTCATCGACCTGGTGGAGGAGGGGGAGAGTGACACCATCAGGTCATGCCTGATGGCTGGCATGGCCTTTGATTGCTCAGGCTGCCCCTCTGATGTGCCAGGCTTGCAGGGACTGTCATTCAGACTGAGATCCAGAGGGATGAGCCTGTACTTCTGGGGACCCTGCACCCTGTCTTCTGCCTTTGGACGTTGGTGCACCTGCTTCCCACTGTCCTGTCCTCTGATTGCCATTGGCGTTCCCTCTGCTGAGCCCTGTGGTCCTAATAACTGCAGGGGGAGATAAAAGGCTCCCTTTCTCTTACTATTGAAATAAACTCAATTGAGTCACATTTGCCAGCCCCTGGGTGCCCTACCTGCATTCCCTGTCCTTCCTCCTGCCTTGCCACATCTCACAGTTTCCTGGATACATGTGCCACCTTTGCTGGGTTTCAGGCAGCGATCTCCAGGGCTGGGGAGGAGAAGAATGTTACTCAAGGCACCCTGCTTTGCTGAGAAGGCTTGTCACAGGCACATGAATCCCACAACCTGAACGGCTTGTGTCCTCCGGCAAAGCTTTCAGACTTGTTGGGGTCCGTGGCCATCACAGTTGCAACCATGCCACCTACCTCCTGGTACTGAAGGTGACAGGTAGAGGGTTGGAATGAAGCTTGCTGTGAACAGGGCTGGATTCGTGTGCTTAGGCTGTGGTAACAGAGTACCACAGGCTGAGGGACTTACACAACAGAAATGTACTGTTACATTTTGGAATCCGGAAATGCAAGATCAAGGTGATGGCAAGGCTGGTTTCTCCAGAGGCTTCTCTCCTTGGCTTGCAGATGCCGCCTTCTCCCTGTGCCTTTACATTGCCTTCCCTCTGCACGTCTGTGTCCTCCCTCATCTCTTCTTCTTGTAAAGACCATTGATACTAGATGAGGGCCCACCTCATGGTAGTATCATGAGAGATCCTGATGATCTCCTTTAAAGACTCTATCTGCAAATACAGTCCCATTCTTAGGTCCTGGGGCTAAAGCTTCCACAAACAAGTTTTGGGAGGACACAATTCAACCCATAACCAAGGTCTTTGCACTTCAGTGGAAGAAACAGAGGCTTGTGTCATTTGTAAAAGAATATGGGGCAAAATGAAGGCAGGGAGATGTGCCGATAGAGAAACAATGAGGGTTCATCCTGGGAGGCTAGAGTATAGTCCTTTCCCTTTCCCCGGGAGTCCCTGACCCTACCCTGAGCCGCAGAAGTGGAAGGATTACTAGCTTGCCTCCAGGATGGAATCTGGCCTCCATGGGGACTGGAGCACTTGGCATGTCCTTCTGGTTTCAGTCACTATATATAATCCCTCCTCCGTGTAGTGTTAATGGGAGGAGTCTGGGGCGTGGGGTCCCGGCTGCACTCTCATCCCACCCATCTTGTTTCAATTTCCTGCCTTCCTCAGCTCTCCTGGCCTCCACTGGGGAGCATTTGGGGGCGGGATGGGGCTGGACTTCAGTTCTGGAAGTCAGCTGCCACATCTTTGCTGCTCTCTGCCTGCCCAACCCCTGGCAGCTGTTGGAGCCGGGTCAGCTGGTGTCCCCAGCTGCTGCATTCCTCACCAGGGAGCTCCTGCCATGAGAGCTGTGTGGACTTCACACAGGGCTTCAGCAGTGAGGAAGGAATGCCTTCCGACTAATTTAACATGGCCTATGGGCCAGGTGCCCACCAGGTGGGCAAGATGCAGGGGAAATGGTGGGGCCAATTCCTCTTCTTTTGCCTTGCAGGAGGGTCTTCTGATGACAACAGGATTACTACCAGAGCGGGTCTCTCCTTTGGCTACACGTTAGTCTGTGGTCCTAAGTGTCTCCCAGGCTGGCTTTGTCCTGCATCACTGCAGACGTAGACCTCATACCCATCTAGCGGAGAGTCCAGCTGAGCCTTAACCCTTTTCTTCTGAGCTCATTTCCATAGATATCAAATACTTGGGTGTTTTAATCACAGGCTAGACCTGTGAATGGAAGCATGTATGACAAAAGGGACTTTATGGGTGTGATGATGTCAAGATTCATGGAATTACCCTTGAGTATCCTGTGGGCTAGTGCTTGTCTTCTGAGAGATGAGAAGAAAATTAAGGGAAAATTACCCTCAAATTCATCTGTCTTGAGGTGTTGAGTTATTAAATCAATAGTGGAAGCTGTATAGGAGGATGACCTATTGCCTGGATTTTTAGGATGAAGAATAGTTTTTATCTACCACCCTTCCCCAACCCTTGGCAAAGGCCACCTGCTTGCAGCCCCACAGCCCCCTTGTCAAATATTCACATCTTGCTTGATCTATTTTTCCTCTTTCCTCCTTGTTTCCCTGCAGCACTGCCCAGGGGTCGCCCTGCCCCAGGGCGACTCCCACCCACAGCATATCTGACATCAGACCAGGGACAAAACATTAAAGCAGGCCAGGGGGTGAGGTGTGGGGAGTGGTGGGGGATCTGATGTGGGCTGGACATTTTTAAGAAATTCCAAAAATCTAAATCTTTTACATGAAATCTGAATTTTAAATGTCCAGCAACTAATAACAAAATTTTGAAAAATACTTCTGGGTCACGAGGTCATCGTTTAGCATCCCATATGGACAGGGTGGTCCCATAGATGAGACAGTGGGGGCCCACAGAGGCTTACCCCCAGAAAAGCCCCTCCTCTGGAGAGGCAAGGGGCCACCTGCCTCTGTGGCTAGGCAGGGTATTACATCTGCAAAGTCCAGGACGCCCAATACATGGAGGCATTTCCCGGCTTCTGGACTGTGGACTGTCCATAGAGGGACCTGGGGCTCTCCTCATCCTTTCCTCTCCCCTTTTTCTCTGCAGAGGTCTGTGCAGCCCTCAATGTCACTGTGTCCCCGGGGCCCGTGGTTGACTACCTGGAGGGGGAGAATGCCACTCTCCTCTGCCACGTCTCCCAGAAGAGGCGGAAGGACAGCTTGCTGGCTGTGCGCTGGTTCTTTGCACACTCCTCCAACTCCCAGGAGGTCTTGATGGTGAAGATGACCAAGCTCCGGGTGGTGCAGTACTACGGGAATTTCAGCCGCAGCGCCAACCGGCAGAGGCTGCGCCTGCTGGAGGAGCAGCGTGGGGTGCTCTACAGGCTCTCTGTGTTGACACTGCAGCCCTCGGACCAAGGGCACTATGTCTGCAAAGTCCAGGAAATCAGCAAGCACAGGAACAAGTGGACGGCCTGGTCCAACGGCTCCTCAGCCACAGAAATGAGAGGTGAGGGTCCCGTCTCCCTGGGGAGAAGTGGTCGGGGAGCAGGACCCCTTCTGCAGCCACCACCACCGGGGCCCCCAGGTTGGCTCTGTTGCACTAGAACATATCTTGTGGGCCTCTGTTGACCACAGACATGAGTCATGCCATGGGGTGAGGGTAGATCTTGACCTGGACAGTGGCTAAAGTGCTGTGTAGACACAGAAGTGAGAACAGAAAGGACCACAAGCCTGGCCCAGCATGGCCCAGCCCACCCTCTGGGCAAAGCCGCTTAAGTGTCTGAAGTTGCCCTGGCTGTATTGCTGTCAAGGGTCAACAAAGCTGGACCCTGGTCAAACGGTTCAGGGTGGATTTTATTCAGCAGTAGCTATTGGAGTAGAGAAGAGAGCCTGGCATGAACTGGATTCAACTTTGATTTGTGCAGATGTGACTGGTTGTTTTCAAAGGAGAATGAGTGAGGGTGGGTGTGAGTGGGGTGGGGACTCTGAGTAGAGTCAAAGCAGTAGGGAGGGTGTTTGGCTCATGTGGAACCCATCTGGACTTGCTAAGGTTTTTATGCAAATTCGGCTTCTAGCTTCCCACAGAGATGAGGAGACAAGGGTTTTGTCTTCAGGTGTTGGCTGGAACAAGCAGTAACTGCTTTTGGCAGCCTTGAGTTTTCTCAGGCAGGCACTTTTAGAGGGTCATCCCTGGCAGAGGTGTACGGCCTTGAGTCATTCGAGACTATGTTAGTGTTTGTTGGAGTCTCTAGGCCGAGGTTGAGGCTTAGTCGACAAAAGGCCTCGAGGATCCTGGCTGTAGTTTGGCTAAGGAGAGCATCTATGTCAGTGTGCAGCCTCCCACCCAGGTCCGTGCAGGCTTGATGGCTTTGGCTGGGGTGCTGGGCACCCATGGAGAGGCAGGCGTTGGGAAGTCTTGCTGTGAGTCGTCAGGCCTAGGAGTAGGGCAGGCTAATTGCCAAGTGGAACTGATCCAAGCTTAGGCAACAGCTTGCCAAGAAATTCCTGAGGAAGTGGGCAGAGGACCAGGGGTAGCCCTCCCTTCCTAAAGACAGATAGGAGGGATGCGCAGCGTTTCTGGAACATCTCAGCTACCAAGTGCCATCTTTTGGGGCTGTCATTTTTTTATGACCAAAGTTTCTATTCAGAAAGACAACTCTGGCAATTTTAGTAAGACTTTCTACTGTGCACTAAATGATGCCTTCGATTGCTTTGAAATTGAATTTAGTTTGGCGCAAGATCAAGAGGATCACAGAGTTCAGCTGATAGTCTCAAATACGAAAAAGGGTCTAACTTAATGGTACACATATAACATTGTATTCAAGGCCTGAGTGATGTTGTTTTGATAAGCCTTTTTAAAGGACAAAACTTAGTTGTGAAAAGTATTTTTAATGTCTTATATAAATAAGGGACATGGAATAAAATAATTTATATAGAGATTCTTTACAGTAGTTCAATGTTACTTGTTTTTGGAGTTTGCAGTTTGCTTGTTGTAATGTTCATAAGCACAGAATGATATATTAACTAGAATGTGTAATTTTTCTACTTAAGAAAATTAATTCAAGAAAACCAATGACTATTGGTTTATTATTTTCACACAAAAAACATAAATACATCAGATCGTCAAGGGCTGAGCCGAGAACCCTCTGCAAATATCACTTGGCTCTGAAACACAAGATCATATATATATATCATATGTATATATATATCTTATATATATATGGGGTGTGTATGAGTGTGTGTGTGTGTGTGTGAATAGTGTTGTTTTTGGTCTTTGTGTCAGTGTATTCTAGAGTCATAGACTAAATCTTTAGGCAGCAATGACACCCTGCCAAATAAAATATATAAAAAGGTTTGCTGCCTTTAGGTAAGCACAGTCATGTAGCTTGTTGGTCAATGTGAATCTCATTTCAGTGAGTGAAGCTGGGTTCAGTCTAGACCATTTGTTTGAGAACTTGCTCCAAATACATGAGGTAGTTTTTAAGACTTCACTGGAAATAAGGATCTCTTCCCCCTTCTTCTCTTGCTCTCTTGCTCCCCCACTTTCCTGCCCTGGTCCTCCCCTTCTCAGCTCCCCTTACCTTCTTCCTCTTTCCTCTATCTCTCTCTTTCTCTCTCTGTCTTTCTCTCCCTCTGTCTCTCTGTCTCTCTCTCTGTCTCTTTATTCTTCTGTCTTTCTCTTTGTCTCTCTTTCTCCCTCTGTGTCTCTCTGTCTCTCTCTCCTTCCCTCTCTCCGTGTGTGTGTCTCTGTCTGTCTCTCTCTCTCCCTCTGTGTCTCTCTGTGTCTTTGTCTTTCTCCCTCTGTGTCTTTCTATGTATCTCTGTCTCTCCCTCTGTTTCTCTCTGTCACTGTTTCTCTGTCTTTTCTTCTCTCGCTCCGTGTCTATCTGTGTCTCTGTATCTCTGTCTCTTTCTCTGTGTGTGTGTCTCTGTCTCTCTCCTTCTGTGTCTCTTTCTATATACATATATCTCTTTATTTCTCTGTCTCTCTCCACTTCTCTCACCCACCCCTCTCTGACCTCTCACCCGGAAGTGGTTCTACCCTCTCAGCAGAGCTCTACCTCCCTTGCCATGTCTGCTCTGCCTCAGCCCCTGGGCAGGGCTATGATTTGCTGATGGAAAGATTCAAAACTTAGGAAGCAATGACCATACCTTCTAGAACATTCTATGTAGGCCTCCAGGGGACTGTTCCAAGGCAGTTAAGGCAAGGTTACTGCAAGCAAATAACCTGAAACCAGACAGCCTGTTTGGGTTGGAGCATGTTCACCTTAGGCTGGGACTATGTGAAGCCTTGGCTGCCTGGGCAGGGCCAGGAGATGCCCATGGCTCCAGCCTCCCAGAACACCTTTCCTGGGGCCCTGGGCCTTGTCCCTCTCCAAGGGCCTAATTTTCCTAAATCTCCACCTTTTTTTTTTTTTTTTTGAGACAGAGTCTCCTCACTCTGTCACCCAGTGGCACCATCTGGGCTCACCGTAACCTCTACCTCCCAACTTCAAGCAATTCTCCTGCCTCAGCCTCCAGAGTAGCTGGGATTATAGGCATGTACTACCACAGCCAGCTCATTTTTGTATTTTCAGTAGAGATGGGGTTTCTCCATGTTGCCCAAGCTGGTGTTGAACTTGTGACCTCAGGTCATCCACCCGTCTCGGCCTCCCAAAGTTCTGGGTTTACAGGTGTGAGCCACCTTATATGGAAAACAAAAACAAAGAACAAGGATGAGAAGTTCTGAGGGCACATACCTTTGGGTTGGAATATCAAACGGGATCTCTCAGGGGGGTTTGGGAGTGCCCCCCACTCCAGGTCCGTGGTCTCTTTTCTAACCTGCTCATGTTACCTCCCTTTCAACAGGAGTCTCCAGCCATCCAGCAGAGAGGGAAACTTTTCTTGGGATTTCCCTTCTAATACTACCTCATCCTTTGCCCTTCACCACAGATGTGGTCTCCTTCCTGCAGAGTTCTTGATGTGAGATAAAATTGCTTGTCTCTCACTATAAACTCCCAGAAAGAAAAGCTGGTGCCTTGTCTCTCCTGTCCTCATCTCCCTGTTGTGGGCAGCTTGCCCAGCACAGGGAGGGTGACTCATGATGATGTATTTAAAGAGTGACTCCTGGCACAGAGAAGAGCCCTAGGAGTGTTGGTTTTTATTATCTGTCCTGATTTCCATATGTTGGTTGTTTTCTGTTGCAGAAGTAATATAGTGTAATATAGTTCAATTATAGAAAATGTGGAAAACTACTGAAAGGGTTTAAAGAAGAAAATAAAAATGACTTACCATATCTCTACTCAGGCACAACTTAACATTTCAGTGCAAATCCTTTCAGGCATTTTATGCAAATATAAATTCAAAACCTAATTTCAATCTTACTGTAAAGAGTGCTTTGTGACTGGCTTTTCTGATATTACTAAATAGTGTGCACATTTTCCCTTGTTAAATATGCTTCCAAAACATAATTTTAATGATGGAATCATGTTCCATCATGCAGATGGACCACAATTTAGTTTCCTACATATTGTTACTGGACATTTAAAGCTGCTCTAAATCCTTGTCAATAAATCTCCATGACCTTGGCATAAAGTCCTGGAAATAAAATTGCCATGTCCAAAGGTCTACCCAATTTAAAGATGGACACAATTTCAAGAAGTGAATTGACTTCTAAAATAGTTTGCATATTTATACTCTCACCAGCATTGAAAATGCCTTTTCCCATGAATTGGTTTATATAAGAGCTACCAATTTTATGTGGTTAATTTTACGTGTTGAGTAGGCTAAATAATGCCCAGATAGCTGGTAAAACATTATTTCTGAGTGTGTTGGTTCTATTTCTCTGACAATCATATATGCTTTTTGAGGATGCTGATGATAAAAATGAATGCCTGCAACAGTGCCTGGTAAACAGTTGGCCCTCAATACATACTTGATGAATGCATGAAATATTCTTTGTCAAGTGGCTTAGCACCTGTTGCTGTGGATGACCTTGAAGTAGGCATGACTTGGTGGATGTAGTCACCCTCTCTGGGATGCCTCACCTCTTTTTTCTTGACTTATTCCAATCATACATATTTTTGGGGGTCCTAGATTCAGCTTTCCTCTTCCATCAATGCCTTCTTTGGGCATGAGGGCTCTCCCACTGGTGAGGTCTTGTAACTTCCGTTTTTAGCACTGTAGACACAACATTATGTAGTCATTGTTTTTCAAGCTGCTGTGGCACAGGGATAATGTCAAAAATATTATACGTAAAAGAGTCGGCTGGGTGTGGTGACTCACGCCTATAATTCCAGCACTTTGGGATGCCGAGGTGGGCGGATCACGAGTCAGGAGTTCAAGACCAGCCTGGCCAACGTGGTGAAACCCCATCTCTACAAAACTACAAAAATTAGCTGGGCATGGTGGCGGGTGCGTGTAATCCCAACTACACAGGAGGCTGAGGCAGAAGAATCGCTTGAACCCAGGAGGTGGAGGTTGCAGTGAGCCGAGATTATGCCATTGCACTCCCGCCTGGATAACAAGAGCGAGACTCCGTCTCACAAAACAAAACAAAACAAAACAAAACAAAAGAACCAATCAATGCAAAAACTAAAATGTGCAATTATCTTTCTCCCACCCACAACTTAATATATCCCCAGTTCCACTCTCATCCCCAGAGATAATCATTGTCAATAATTTGGTTTAGATCTTTCAAATCTTTTTCCTATTGACATTCACACACACACACACACACACACACACGAAAATACACTTGTATTTTAACAATAGTGCATGTATTGCTTTATAAGTGTTGTAGACATTACATGTATTAGTTTGTAACTTACTTGATAATATAGTGAGACAAGATCAGACTGCATCCAGTCATTCCCGCAGTGATAGACACTTAGGGATCTTCCAGAATTTCACCAACATAAACAGTGCTTCAGTGAAATCCTTGTACGTCTTTCCAAATACATCTGTTACATTCCTGGAAAGGGAATTGCTGGCCTAAGGGTAAGCATATTTAACATTTTTATATACAATGCCAAAATGCTTTTGCTGAAAAGACTTTACAATTATATACTCTATCATTGCATGATAATGTCTTTCCCTGAAGCCTCTTTAACAATCAATATTATTAATTTTTTCCATTATTTATCACAATGACGGGAAAAATATTTCATTGTTGTTTTAATTTCGATTATTATATTCAATACTATATAGTGCAATTTAATTTCTGTTGTTGTATTCAATTATTAGTGAGGTTGAGCATCTCTTCATATGTTTAGACATGGTTTATTTATTCTGTGAATTGCCTGGCTATAACCTTAATAATTGGGTTGCTGTCTTTTTTTATATATGTGTATGTGTGTGTGTGTTGAGTGTGTATATATATGATTATTAATTTTTTAGCCGTTATATATGGTACAAAACTTTCTTCCTATTTGTTACTTTTCTTTCTGCTTCGTTTATGTTTTCTTTTACCATATATTTCACATTTTGAGATATTTATTTATTCAAATTTGATATTTTTTCCTTTGTGGCATTCTTTTCCAGTGGAATTTATATTGAAGTGTAATTTACATTCAACAAATTGCACGTGGTACTTTGGTTTTGTATTGAATCCTGGAAAGGATCCCCTGCCCCAAGCTTATGAAAATGTTTTCCATATTTTTCTCTAATATTTTTAATGACTAAAAGAAAGCTTTACTCCTTTATCTCTTTGGAATGTGTCTTTTTATATAAGGTATATAGTAGCTAATTTATTTTTTCTTTACAAAAGGCTAAAATGTTATCCCTACACTGTTGAAGAAGTATTTTTCTAGCTTGAAATGTCACATTTTTTAAGCTAAATCCCTATGTTTAAATGAAAAATTTGTATATTTTACCAAATAGCACTATTTTAATTATTATAGAATAGGTCAAATATCCTCATTTTTAAAATTATCTTGGCTATTCTTATATATTTAGTTTTCTTTAAGATGATCTTGAGGATCAACTTACCTAGTTATGTAAAAATTATGTTGGGGTTTGATTGGGATTTCATTAGCTTATTATACTACTTTGTTGTGCACGTATACATCTTAGATATCTTTATGATTTGGAATGTTTCTATCCAATAACTTGTTGTATTCATTTATGTAGTCAGGGTGTTTTTTTTAAATGTCTTTCAGTACAACTTTTTTTCACATGACTCTTGAACATTTTTATTATGCCTACTTCTAGGTATTTTATAATTGTAATTAGGATATACTATCCCTTTTTTTTTTTTTTTTGAGACGGAGTTTCGCTCTTGTTACCCAGGCTGGAGTGCAATGGCGCGATCTCGGCTCACTGCAACCTCCGCCTCCTGGGTTCAGGCAATTCTCCTGCCTCAGCCTCCCGAGTAGCTGGGATTACAGGCACGTGCCACCATGCCCAGCTAATTTTTTGCATCTTTAGTAGAGACGGGGTTTCACCATGTTGACCAGGATGGTCTTGATCTCATGACCTCGTGATCCACCCGCCTCGGCCTCCCAAAGTGCTGGGATTACAGGCTTGAGCCACCGTGCCCGGCCGATATACTATCTCTTGCTATGCACACACATATACATGTAGCTTTTAAATTGGTATTGCTGCTGTATAGAAAAGTTTGACTTTTCTTGAGTTATATTTGGCAACATAATGAGCTAACTTATTATTTTGGATGTGGTGTTTCTCATTTGCATTTCAGTGGTGTCTGTGAATTCATATCTCATTATTTTCCTACCATATTGCATTGGCCAGTACTTTAGAGATACTGAGTCATCTCCTGTGCCCTTTTCGTATGACACTACTGTGAGTTAACCTACCAGTTGGGTTTTTATCTTGACCACATCTTTCTACCTAGCCCACATGACTACTATTAGAGACTGTCAGTCGCCTTATTAAAAGCCAGCCTTGAGGCAACCTTGGCTTTTTCATGATCTCCACTGGTAAACCTACCACAAAAGCAACTGGGATTGACCTGACAATATCTCTTAGGAATTTATCCTTCCCTCCCTCCGTCCCTCTCTCCTTCCCTCCCTCTCTCCTTCCTTCCCTTCCTCTCTCCTTCCTTCCCTCCCTCCCTCCCTCCCTCCCTCCCTCCCTCCTTCCCTTCCTCCGTCTCTCCCTCTCCCTCCCTCCCTGCTTCCCTCCCTTCCTCCCTCCCTGTCTCTCTCCTTCCTTCTTTCCTTCCTTGCTTGCTTTCTTCTTCTTCTTCTTCTTCTTCTTTTTTTTGACTTCAGATAGAATCTGACTCTGTCTCCCAGGCTGGAGTGCAGTGGCATGATCTCGGCTCACTGCAGCCTCCTCCTCCTGGGTTCAAGCAATTCTCCTGCCTCACCACCTCCACACCCAGATAATTTTTGTATTTTTAGTAGAGGTGGGGTTTCCTCATGTTGGCCAGGCTGGTCTCAAACTCTTGACCTCAGGTGATCCACTGGCCTCAGCCTCCCAAAGAATTGGGATTACAGGCATGAGCCACCGTGCCCTGCCTCCTTTTGTAATTTCTTAAAACCCTCATTTAAAAATCCATTCCAGAAACCTGTCAGAGATAGATGAAAAGTCCACTAGCCTATAGTTTTTATAACTTATCTCTCTCTTTTGTTTTCCCAGCAAGTGAAACACTTACATGTCTCTAGCCGTGTGACTCCTTTACTATTTTCCAGGTTTGCTTGCTTTTCCTTAACTGGAGTTTTTTCTGACCTGTGAATGGTCATCACTTAAGAAAGGTGAGGCATTCTTCTCTGAGGAGGGAAGGGATGGGAATGTGATGAGGCAGCCTGCTGGCTGCAAAGGTTATTACTGTGAAGGCTCACCTGTTGGGATGCTGAGTAGAGTAAACCTGTGGATATTACTGGGATGCCATGGCCATATTGTCATGAACGCTGATTAAAAACTCTCCAACTTGGGGACTGAAATTGTTTATCCATATTTCAGTGGAGTCAAGTCTTTGACCCCAACACCAGTCTATATCACTTGGACTTTCATTTACTTCTCTGAGTGGGAAAGAAAGGGGTGCAGGCACAGGGGTTCTGGGATTGCCTACAATCTGCAGCATGTGGCATTAATGCTGTACCCCTAAAATGGCTGTCCCCAACAAAGTCCAATCTGTGAGTCACATGCTTGAAAAATGCTTTATGAATGTCATGCAAAATAAAAAATAAGAAGGAAAAAAATCCAAGTCCAATCCAAATAACCAGTCCACCCTAGTATCTGCAGTGGTCTCTGCTTACTTTGCTGTATGTATTTTTCATTTTACCCAAAATCTGAGTAGGCCCTTGAGCATTCATGTATGATGATTAAAAAAAAAAGTATAAATTGTTGGAAAAAATATACATGAATAAATGAACTCCTGGAGGCGCTTCTGAAGGTGTTTGGCTATGAAGTACATGCTGTATTAATTTTGGGCAGGGCATAAGCTGCCTTTATGTTTTATTGTGCAAATTGTTAAAGTATGGTAGAGAACTGGGGATTTTGAAGCATCTGGAAATGTTAAGTGGGGTACATCTGAAAACCAAGTATGTGGAAGATTGAGGGTGGAGCTCCCTGGTCTACCAAGCGTTCCTGTTGTCGTCATGGGGCACGAAATGATACAACAGAAGTGAAGAATGAAAGGGAGAGAATCTCCAGAGGACAGTGGAGCCGTGCCTGGCTTATTTCACAGAATCTCATGCCAGATGAACTTGTTGATGTTGTTTTTCTTACCCAATGGTAAAAGGACAAAGAAAAAGACGCAGTGTCTCCATTTGCCTGTGCCGTGTGACGTTTGACGATTTCACTGGGTGAGGAATCCTGCTTAGAGAGAAAATGGATTGAAAAAATCCTAGGTGACACGTCGCATTGGAACCCCCTGGAGAGGTTTCTAGTGGAAATCGTGAGGATGAATGTTAGGTTTGATTTCCTTTGATTGTTTTATCAATGACATTGAGAAAGGGGCCCACATCACCCTAATGAACTTTGCAGAAAATGCAAAACTGGGAAATGTTCTTAACGTCAGCGAGAAATAAAACATAATAAAAACGATTCCAGAGCGGTAAGAAATATAGGCAGGAAGTAACAGAATGAAATTCAATTTGCAAAATGGCCCAGCAATACATGTGGGAAAAACAAATCTCAAGCATTGCTGGATAGGCACCGGGGGGCCGGGGGGGCTCTCTCTGCGAGGAGTGATAGCAGTGAGTCAGCCGCGCATTTGCAACGTGAGACCGCCGCTCAACAGCTGATGTTGTTTCCGTCCGCGTACAAATTCGACCTGGAGCCCCTGAGAAGGAGGTGATTGTGTCGTAGGTACTACACTGGTGAGACCCTAACCGGGACTACACAGTGTGCTTTGGGAACCTCATTTCCAGACAGATAGATTTAAGTTAGAGAAGAGTGGCAAATGTGATGAGGAAATGAGCAGCCGCTTCAGAGACAGGATCCGTTTTATGGAGGAAGATTTGCTCGGCTCAGTGAAGAAACTGCATCGGAAAATAGTATGGATGATGATGATGTCCAGCAGCTCTAGGTGGATTCATTTATCCCTTCACTCAGTGCGTGTGTTATCAAACACCTGCTTCGTGGCAGGCTGTTGCAATAATGGAGACCCAGAAACACATGGTGGATCCGTCTATAGGGGTGGCACATACACAAACACATGGGGTCTTGCAGTGTGAGTGCAGGAGTCAGGATGCACACAAGGTACTGTGGGAACACACCAGAGGGTCCTTTAAGAGCCAAGGGAGAGGGCAATGCTGGAGATGATCTTGGTGGTTTATGTGGGGGCGGCACAGACGACCAAGGGGACAGTCACTGCAGCTCATGCCAGGGCTTTGGGGAGGACTCTGCCTTAGGCCGGGAAGCTCACAAAGCATTCCAAGCTTGTTGAATGTTGGCTGCTTGGTGCATGGATCTGGGGGGAATCAGATTAGAGGAGGAGGAGGAAGTGGGGTCTTTTGTAGTTGCCCAAGCTTGAAATGATGGAGGACTAACTTTGGCAGTAGGAATGAGGAGATATTAAGAGGTCAGATGAGAAGTGTTACTGACTGACTGGATGTGAATGATGGAGAGAGCTGTGGGATGACACCCGGGGGTCTAACTCAGTAAACATGTGTAGCAGCTTTTCACTCATTCATCATGAGCAGGCCAGATGCAGGTGTAGCCTCACTGCAGGTGACACTGATGAAGTGAAGTGCATAATAATGCCTTGCCCAGCCCCAAGGCTGGTGGGGAAGCTGAGGCCTGAGGGCCGTGTGCTGAGCACTGTGGGGGCATAGCAAGGCTGAAGTGGGCGGCACAAGGAAAATGGGATGAGAATTGAGGGAACATGAGTAGAAGGTTGGGGTGATTTCAACAGGGAGAGGAACTGCTCAGCCATGTCTCCTTCTCTCCAAGGGGTGGCTTATTTACTTACATTGGGGGTGTCCACGGCATACTGAATTGGAACTCGTTTCAAACCTGGCAGGCATCATAGCCTAGTGTTAGGATTCCCAAATGCTCTTGGTTCTTGATGACCTTAGGCCAGAGGACAAAACAAAAATAAGAATACATACAAACAAAGACCAGTTAACAATTTTGCTTAAGTAGTTGGGTCACAATTTTATGTAAGTATTGAGATGCAGACAACTTGTTCTTGTCTTCTTCAGGGTGAACTCCAAGGTCACCTTTGAAATGAGGTGATGATTTCATATTTTAAGGGGCCAAAATTTCTCATGTAAGTGGAAAGTAGTATATAGCTAGTTATGGTAAATATCTTTTCAAATAATGATACTTCCTAAAGAAAAGCACTTTGCTCTGCCCTGCGTTGCACAGGCTGTGTCTGCCCATATCTATCCTGAACGCTCAGTGCTGCTGGGGCACTTGCTGTGCCTTGGGCCTGCCCTTGAGAACTTCAGCCACTGTCTTCCTGTTCCTCACACGTCCAGGGCCTGATTGCCCCTCTATATACCCTTGACCCTTTGTCCCCAAGTCCAAGTCATTGCTGTTTGTGTTCTGTCCTTTCATTACCTTCCTTTGCTCCCCAAGCTTTGGGAGTCTCCCCACCTTTGTGCCTCCTCCATTGTGCTTGACATCCTGTCACCTATAGACTTTTCTCCCTAGGGCACAGGTCTGGGTTCGTTGCTCTCAATAAGTACAGATTCTGTAGACTTGCTTAACAGGAAGAGGCCCCCAGTGGGTATGGGGCGGGTATGCTTGCTTTTTCAGGTGCTGCCTGGAGAGATTCCAAGATGAAGCCTGAGTGTCCAAGGGGCTCCTGGTGAAAGATGGGTCCCAGCTGCAGTCCCCAGTGCCATGTGTCATAAGGTCCCCATGGAAAGCATTGAGATAGGTTTGCAGGGCCGTAGCCTGAGTGCACTTCATGGGAGTGTGTGCTGCTGGTGTTCACAGGAGTGATGAGGTCATTCATTGGAGGCTCCTGCTCTTAGGGAGGCCACAGCTTTGATCTCCAAGACCTCAAAAAACATGATCTTCAATGGCTTTCCAACCCAGTCCTACAACCCACAGAAGCAGTCTGACATTCTGGGCCAAAATAAATCTTCTGCTTTTAGAGGGAGAGGTCTTTATCAGCAGTGAAAATGCTAATAATAGAAGCAATTTGCAAGGGCTGTCTCCTGCAGTTTAATTGTAATTTACTTTAAACCCAAATAGTGTATTTTAACAAGCCAAATTGTTATTTAAGATTATGTAAGTAAGGTTTAAATGTGGAGAATGGACAAAGCAAATGGAAAAAGCTCTTCGTCACCCCAGAAGTATTTGGGGGCAAAGATTAAATTATAATATGATTTCTCATCTGACTGTTTAACCCCAAAATGTGAGAGGAAGTTTAATAATTAGATCTGAAGTTACTACCACAGGGAATTGATACTTCAAGTTTTAGTGGAAGAAATTAACGAAATAATTCCTTTTTCTCTGGAGACATGGAACAGATAATTAGGAATGAGATTTACTAAACATTTAGGGCTCCTGGTTAATTAAGCAAGCACACATCATGGTATTTAAAGTGTCAACAGGTCCAGACACTCAAAATGATCAAATTGACAACCAGAGTGTAATTTAAACACCACTTTAAATAATTCTTCATCGTACCTACCCTCATTCCAACTGTCGTGGTCTTGAAAGAGTTTAAAGACTTAGCTTCACAGACATTCACGAAGCCCCAGTTTGTGAGCCTGTCATACCATGCCTTGCCCAAAGAGAGGTACAGATGGAGATGTTTGATGCCTACCCTCCTGGGGCCCTAGCCTCACAATGTAGTGGAGAAGCCATGCTGTAGATGTGGTTATAGATCTAATAGACATGATGGAGGTAGCAAACAGAAAGAGTGTGAAAGGGCCAGACGAGAGCGTGAGGCTGACATGGGAGTAAGGGAGATGAGGACACCTGGATTGCTGGGCCATAGGAGGTCACAGGGAGGATGTGGGACTTTGCTTGGATCCCAGGAGAGCTTCAGCAGACAGCCATGGGCCATGCTGTTTCATGAGCAGTGAGAGCCTGCTCAAAGGTGTTGCAAGAGGCCATACAGGGATGCAAAAGTAACTCCATGGATTTATATGCATGTTTGCGGTTGGTGGGGGATGGGGGTGGGCAGCAACAAGAGAAAAGGTTGGAAGGATGGACCCGGCCAGGGACCTTGGTACCAGGGACCTTGGTGCCAGGAACCTTGGTGCCAAGGACACTGCCAGAGCCTTCTGAAATGCACCCTCACATGTTTCATGGTGCATTTGCACAGAAGTGGCCCAATGATGATTTTTTAGAAGTAGGAGTGAATGAGTGATCCAAACTCTGGTACCAGGGAGAATGGCAACTAGGAGTGGAAGGGAGGAATAAGTGCATAGATAGCCCTATCCTGGACTTGTGTGTGTAGAGGACCAGTGACCAAGCCCTTGGTTTCAGTACTTCCTAGCTTCTCATTGGGGACATAAAGATGGCTTTTGTGCTCTGTAGCTCCTTCACCCCCAGGAAACAGACTCTTTTCCGATGGCCTTGCCATGGGAAGTCTGTTTCATTTTTTCCCTTTGTTTGCCCTTTTGCTTTGTTTTCTGGAACTTATCTTGGACTGAATGCAGTAGGAATTTGTCTAGCATACACCAGACAAACCTGGAGCTTCACTGTTTCTCATTGGTTGCCGCCTGCAGGTCGCTCAGAGGTTCTACTGACATATATGGCTTTATTCGAGCCCCAGGGGAGACTGCCTTTGACCTAAGTCTTGGAGAGGCAAGGGAGAAAGGAAGCAATAGGCCAGCGCCGTGTCTCTCTGGGGCTGCAGTTGCCTTCCCCGAGAATGTTGATCCAGTTATAAACAGTAGAGACACAGCTATATTTTAAGAGCTTTTTCCTTGGGAACCATCGCATCTATCGTTGAATAAGAAGGGAGAGTGAACTGACTATTGAATTTGAATTTGGGACAAAGGTGTTGGCTCACCTTTGTTTTATTTACGAATCGTTTTTTCTGCATACTTCACATCACCATCCTCTTCCAGTCCCTTAGATTTTTCTCACCGATTAATTAACGTGTGTAAGATGCTGCCTGAGGGATCTGGGGTAGGGTGGTGCTTGCTCTCTCCTGGTGCTAATTTGCAAGGGCTACTTGCCAGGGATCAGGCTCCTAAACTGTCGCTTCCTTTCAACTTGAGGTAACTTAAAATCCTCTGTTTAAGAAGAATCACCTTCTGGTTAGGAATCATCTTTGGACTTTATGCCTCCATCCTGTAGGAAACTAAACGTCCAGAGGCCATAAAATAAATCATGACGGGCACAAAGCCTGCAACTCCAAGGCCAGAATTCCATGGAGAAATCCACCTTGGCAGCCAGGTGTGCTAGTACATTCCCACTGCTTCTGAGGCTCCAGGGAAAGGACCGTTGCTGGGCACGGTGGGGCCCCCTGACCCTGGCCTCTCTCCTAGCCTCCCAGAAAGTAATGATGTCATGGTCCTGGTAAGGTGGCCTTATCCCACTTGTACCACGTTTATTTCATTCATTCATTAAGAGTAAGCCTGTCATCACTGAGGCTCCTGAAGCCCCAGTGGGTGTGTGTTATAGGGTGCTCTCTTAGTTTGTTATCTATAGGCAGCTTGTGTTAACTCACTCAGTTAGACACTCCACCTTGTCTGGAGGACAGAGGGCTTTCTGTATCCCTTCTGTATCCTGGGTTCTTACCCTGATGTACTGAAAAAACCAGATCACCCATGGGCTTGGAGAATGAGTGCAAAGTTTCATTGAGTGGAAGTAGCTGTCAGCCAATGGGAGAGACAGAAGGGAGATGGTTTCTTCCTGGAGCTGGGCTGCTTGGTGGCCTTGGCTCTCTTCTGACTGCCCCAGCCAAACTCTGCCAAACTCCTCCTGGTCCCACTGGGAACTCAGTGTTTTTATAGGCCCAGGATGGGGATGTGGTAGGCCAGGGTGGTCTTGGGAAATGCAACATTTGGGCAGGAAATCCCTGTCCTCACCTAGGTCCTTGGGGGTGAAGTCCTAGCCAGGGACCACACCCTCCTCTACTCAGCACTTCCCTTCCCTTCTTCCATATTATTCAAAGGGACCATGCTCCTCCCTTCCCTGCACTCCTGTATCACTTTGTAGATAACACTACTGTGGTAGGGTCACTACTTATATCCTTATTACTCTTGTTTTCCCTAGATTAAATTGAAGACACACTGGTTTAGTTTTGAGTTCTAGACCCTGTCCTGGATTGGACAGGACAGCACAGGAGAAGGCTTCATCCAGCCTGGTCAGGGTAGGCACAGAAGGGAAGGCGTGTCTCCTGAGCTTGGCTGCCCACCTTTGCTGCACACTGGCTCCTGCTCCCTGCTGCTTCCTTCTTCCCCTCTGCCTGCCAAGGCCCCTCCACTTTCTCTCCATTGAATCCTCCCTTCTGGAAGGCTTTCTGTGTCAGAAATGTGCACCTGACTTTGAATACAACCTAGAATTGCAATTTAAACTTTGTTAATTGTAAGATTTTTTGTTAAAGGAATTAGGGGCACCAGTGGGAGAGAATTTCAGGAGAAATGGAGCCTTCCCAGGACCTTTCAGAATTTTTGGTCATCGCTTCCATGGATGAGTGATGTCAGTCTAGGCATGCTTCTAGACAAAACATGTCAGCGTCCTCAGTGAATGGCTGGACCCTTGAAAGAACCAGAAGCCCCTTGGCACCCAGAGGGCATTGTCACAGGGTCTTGGTGTGAACTCACCTGTGAAACCTACCCTCCCCAGGGAAGTTGACAGGACGTTCTTTCCAAGGTAGCAATTAGGGCTCTCAGTTTTCACACCTCTCTGAGTGATGGTTTCCCCCAGGTTCCATCAAAGGGGACTTGACTAAGGCTCTTTCTTTCCAGCCTGCTTCCTCTAGACATGTGGCTGATAGAATCAGTTTGTCTCAGTGCCTCTGGCTGCATTCTTCCAGACTGTTTGATCCTGTGGCCACTTTCTTCAACAGAGGGCAGTGACATGATATATTTCACAACTTGTCCCTTATTAGATTTCTGTCCTATTCTGTGCTCCTGGGGAGGCCCCAGAATGGCCCATAGCTCTGTCATCTGGGCCACTGCCTCACCCGAAACTCTCATGGGCTCTGCCCATTGGGTGTCAAGGCAGTGACAAAGCAGTCAGTAGGTCAGCTGACAATTTAGCTTCTGAGTTCTCATCACCCCTCCCTCCACTGTGAGATCTGAATCATCAGACAGACATAAAACCCACTTTAGTTCCGATACAGCTGTTCTGAGATAGGTGGCGTGGCACTGAGGCGGAACTGGGCTTCCTTCTGCTTCCCTGAGCAGTTGTCCTGCCTGTCCCCCTCTCCCCACTCTTCACCCCAGCAGGGGGACTAGAGGCCTGCACGCCATGGGAGGAGGAGGTAGGGTCCTTGGACCGCCCACTTCATGGTCTCCCTGGACATGGATGGATGGGAAAGGAGTGTGCACAGGAGCGGCCACAGGTGGGCTCCATGAGAAGCAGGGCTGGGGCCACTCCCAGCAGCTGGGGTCATGAGACCATTCCAAGGGGCCCTACAGCATCTGCCCCCATGCCAGCTATTTCTGGAAGACCAGTCTCAGAGCACGGGGCAGGACGGAGGCTACTTGGAAGAAGTTCTTTACCACATTCCTCTCACCCAGAGGGGAGCTGTGGTCAGAAGCTCACCTGGATCAGGAGCTTTTCCTTGCCCACCAGGGATGAGGGAGGTGGTAAATGCAGACAGGAGGGCAGACAGTCAGGCAGCATCATTCAATCCTGCTCCTTCCTGGGGAGAGATGGAAGTCCCATCCTCCCCATCGTGAAAACCTGAGCTCAGAGCAGCAGGGTCCACCATGAGGACCTTATAGGACCACCAGCTCACTCACCGACTGACGGTCATGCACTTGCTTTCCTCTTTGGGGGATTAGGCTGGGCATTCCTTTAATCGCGAGCAGCTGTCAGGAGGGCAGGACTTCCATTCCCCTGAGATGGTGCATAGGAAGAGTCAGCAAATTGGTATAAGAGGCCGCTGTCATCTTCTTTCCATTTGTCTGGGAGTCCAGCTAGATCCCAAAGTGAGGCCAGTACAGCAGAATGGGATAGATTGATTACCTCTTGTTTAAGGCTCTCCAGCCTTCTGATTGCTAAACTCATTGGAAACTGTTACAAAAATGCTCTTCCATCAAGAGATTTGCATTTTATTTCTACAAGTCTTTGAGCAACATTAGTAATCTGTGGTTGGAACACTTGCCACTTGTTCTTCAGTCTTGCAAAATGTTTTCTCAAAGCACTCCATCCTTTTCAAGTCTGCCCTGCTGGGGCCTCTTCCACTCCACACTTGAAGGTTGACTAAGGTGAATCTATGTTAGCCGCTCACAGCTGTGCTGAGGAGGGCATGGCAATTGTAGAGTCAGGAGACCTGCTGATTGTCCACTGCTCAGCCCTTGCCGTTGGCCTGGCCGCATGCCATAGCTCTGCTTCCTCATAGCCTGTGGACTCAGATCCCTGGCTTGACAGGGTATCAAATTCACTTTGAGATAGCACAGGATTAGCAGCTGCAACAAGATACTTACGCAGAACCTTAGGAAAATTCCCAAAGCTCTGGCAGCGTTCATGTAAAAATTTTTCTTTCTTGTAGGAACAAGTAATATTAGGATTGGTGCTGCTAATCATCAGATGCCAAAGTTGCTGCACCATCCTGTGAAATATCTGCACTGGGTGCGGGGGGGAATGCGAAGCATCCGGTGATTCCTTGCATGGAGCCCGGTTAGTTTAGAATTCCAGTTTGTTAGCTCTTTCAACACGCTTCCATAAATAGATTAGGGAGAGCTTGTTGTCTTCTATCCTAGAAAAGGGAAAGAGAACTGTATTTGAATTAAATCAAGGACCCACAATTTCTGACACTGAAAGGTGATAAAAACAGCCTGAACGCACCTGTTGGTTAGAATGGTGGCAGCTTATGGGAGCTGTAGAGATTTAGACACAAGGACAGGGAACCCTTTTGTTGGCCACTTGGACAATTGAAGAGTTACCCCCTGAGGCAAAAAGCTGACAACAAAGGATCCTCCTGAGGTATTTGGGGGTGGGGTGAAGTGGGGGAGAGGTTAGAGCAGTGAATAAAACAGGGGAAAGTCCCTGTACTTAGACAGCTCTTGTCCATTTGGATATGGGCTCACTAGGTCTCAGGCACTGTTCTGAGCACTTCACACACATGAATTTTTTTAACCCCTGCACCTACTTCAACATGGGCACTTCTCATTATCCCCATTTTACAAATGGGTAAACTAAGGCACAGGAAAATTAAGTGACTTATCCAAGGGTATACAACTAGCAAGTGGCAATTGAGTCTTTCAACCCTGTGAGCATGTGTGTCCCAAACTTTAAAAGGCATATATTTCACCCAAGGGATCTGGGCTTAAAAACAGATTCTGATTCAGTAGATCTGGTGTGGGAGCCTACCATTCTGCATTTCTGAGGAGCTCCCAGGTGACACCGATGCTGCTGACCCATAGACCACGTGTGGGTGGTAAGGGTTGGACCATGATGGGCATCCTTGACCTCCTGGAAACCTAGCTCCTTGGAGATATATGTGTATTGTTCATCTCCGTGTTGTCTTCATCAGGACCTTCTTATCCTCATCTAGGCTTGATTAGCTGAAGCCATGGAAACCCAGCCAAGCTGATTCAGGAGAGGAGTGGGCACAGCCTAAGGGTGCAGAGCTCGTGGAATGCAAGAAGAATAAACACAACACATCAGGCCTTGTGGGTCCCAGAGTGCCATTGAGCTCTGGTCTCTCACCTTCCCTCTGCTGTGCAGGTTCCAGCCTCTGCTCCATGTGCTTAGCTGTTTTCCAACATGGCCACCCACAAAATCCACTGGCTCTTTCAGGCCCAGGGCTCACAATAACCTCATGCACTCTGTTTCTTATTTTAAGTGCTTGAAGGGGGAATCTGGCAGTCAGTAGATTACAGGGGCTATAGTATTGAGCAGGTAGGGGAGGTTGGGTGTGATGGACTCATTGTCTGTTACATCTTAGATCACATGCAAGGTCAGATATTCACTGAGAGCTCCTTCCTGGATACCCAGATTGCTTCCTTTGGGAGACAGCCAGAAAGAAATAGATAATTCATATATTTACCAAGCACCTATCAGCTGCAAGGTAATGTAC